ACAGTTTCTCATGGTGACTTTATCAGTACAGATTTTTTTCTCATGTAACCCTAGAAGTGAATATTTGCATCGTTATAGGAGGCTGCACTGTACCCTGTGAAACAATGCATATTAGAGTCTTATAGGGGAACATTTTATGCAGAGTTTAGTGAGTTCCAGTACAGACTTCCTAACAGTTAGGAACTTCAAGGGGTCATATTTTAGCAACATGCTACATTGTTTCATCTTAGTCATTGAGTGACTTCCACCATACATACATGTCTTTCATATAGTTTTTATATATGATAAATGTACCCATGGCTAAGAGTTTTAATTTTGACTGCCACTATTACAGCAAACAGACCAAATGGGAAGAAATGGCACCAGGAAGGCTTAGGAGGCAGTTTATTTACACCGGTGGGCCTGACTGGGATCTCTCTCCCAGAGTCAGAGCCCTGCCTGGCAGGGCCCTGGAACTGTTACAGGGAGAGCACGGGGGAGGTACAAAGGCAGATTTGCCACATTTGATTGGGTTGGGTGACATCGTGGGTGGCTAAGGGAGTTTGAACACCTCAAGTTACATTGCAGGGCCATCAGTTACACAGAGGCAGTAAAGATGAGGGTTTATATATAAAGGAAGGAGTGTTCTGTTACCTGGCTGGCTGGACACGTCCTCTTGGTCTTGGCAGGCATCCTGGGCAGGCTTTTATTTAAAATTTTTAATTTCCCCCTCCACCACCATCATCAACATACCAGACTGTGTGGATCCGTTGGGTTCTTGCTGTACCCCGGGAAAGAAGGGCAGTGAGATTGAGGAAAAAATAGACAAGAGCCGAAAAGCTGGGATCGGGTGGAGCTCCTCTCTCCTGAGCCGAGAAGGGTGGAGCATTTATTTATACCCTTGAGAGGTTGGTTAATTTCCGCCTCGTTGCCCAGCAATCAGTTAACAAGCCACAGCGGCTTGTTTACGTGCTTCGAGGAGCTCCTGTGTTCTCAGAGCCTCCGTGTTCTTGGGCTGGCTTCGTCTTGCACGTGTAATTACTTTCCAGCCGCTCCCAACACCGGACTTGCTCTTGGCCTTGCGATGATTCCCTTTGTCCCTTGCACTGACGTTTCTGCATCGCCAGCCTCAGCTGCGGCTGG